CCTCTCCCCCTGTTTCCGTCCACACCATTTTTACCCTGTTTTTTTCCCTTTCACTCTCCCTCCCCCCCGCCCCTCTCCTCCTCCCCCTCTCCCCCTGTTTCCGTCCACACCATTTTTACCCAGTTTTCTTCCCCCCTCTCCCTCTCCCTCCCCCTTCTCTCCTCTCCCCTCTCCCCCTCCCCCTCCCCCTCTCCCCCTGTTTATGTTGGTGGTGGGCGGGCGGTGGCTCGCGGGAAGGGATTTGCATTTCGGTGGGAAAGGGGGGGATATCTACGGACTTTCGCCGCACTACCTCCTAACGTTTGTGCTTGGCTATGGTGTGATTATGAGGAAGAGGGAGAGACGGACGAACGGACGGAAGGACAGACACAGACAGATAGACACATACAGGCAGACAGACAGACAGACACAGACAGACAGACAGTGGAAAGTTCAAGAATTTCGCGGATCTCCAATGTCCGAATGGGGATAATACAACTACACGGTACAAAGTATAAAATAAAATGTTGGCACAACTTCACGGTTTGGCACAAGGTTTGCGATTGTTCTGTGATTTCGTTGAAAAACACACGACGTAATGAAAAAAAATAAGGAAAAGAGCAGTAATTCCGGTACAGAAAATGTAGGATTTTGTCATTAACCAGTAAGAGAGACAGGCAGACAAGCAGAAAGACAAAGAACAGGTGAGGCAAAAATGTTATGCCATGCTTATTAGAAATGACAATAAAGAAGGCCAGTCACAAGTGGAGAAAAGACGAATTTTCGGTTGAAGAATTTAAGAAACAAAACAAAAAAAGTTGGGTATCATGAACTACGAAGAACGGATATCCGTTTATAACGTAGTGGCGTCAAAAACTGATATATCTGTTATTTTCATTATCACTGCGTTAGTTGCCGTTGTTCGTAATGCTCTTCGCTCTTAAAAGAAATATGTTAACGATAATAATGATGCTGCATATTCTAAACGTTTCCCTTTATTAAATCCTGACGTCTAGAAATACCCTGCATTGCCTAACGACGCCCTCGGAGCATTATCTGAGCGATTATTCCCACGAGCAGAGACCAAGAGGCCATGATGACTTGCCCTATTTCATGTTTTTTTTTCTGCTTTTGTTCGTT